TGAAACCCATGAAGCTTATATAAAAGGCCAAAAATTATTTTGTGTTCAAATCAAACGGTTGGCAAAATTTGATAGAAAGTGATGTCGGAGGTCCATTCCGTAGGCGAATATTCCGACACCGCTTTCTGAATGCCCTCTTGTCCTCATCATCACCCGAGAGAGTTTGGACAGCTTTAAATTTAAATTGAAATGCTTTCGTTTGATAGGTGCCAGAAGTTTGATGCCATCAAGATTTTTCATCGAATTTGAATACGTGAATCTTTTTTTTTGGTTTTAGATGGAAGGAATGTGGAAAGCGAAAAGGAAAAGGAATTAGTCGACGTTCAATCGTTTACCGGCGCGAGAGTCAAAGGTAATGTTTGATCGAGATTACACATCTTCCGATGATACAGTAGGTATGATTCGCACGCCTCAAGATACAGTACCTCTCCATTGGTATTGAGCATCATTCGATGTCTAGCATTGAACCACTTCTGCACGAAAATATGTTGAATGTTGTTGTGGTTTTATCTTCAGATAGTTGTGTGAGCTCTGTATTACAACGTGTCTGCTTTCATAGATTTTTGAGCTTGTCCAAAAAGCTTGTCTGAGTTTTGTTCCCACTTATAGTTTATTGCAAATCTTCAAAAATTGTGGATATATCTTCGGCAATAGGGACTATTAATGGGGTCTATGTACTTATGAAACCTTTAGCCTTTGTTATTTCATCTATTGACAGCGGCTAATTATGCCACCTGACTGAATCCAAGTCCTTGTCTTCTTGGCATCAAAGCCTAATTTCGTGCAACGAGTAAATTAACAAGCAGCCCTTCAACTTTCCGCATATTATGAGTAGAAAAGGATGTTTGTTATTACTAATAGCCGGTGTACACATTGAGTGCAACAAGAACACTCACCTATGAGTGCTTAATATACAGGTACACCCTCAACTACTCCGATCATAAGCTTTTTGATCTTGCATCCAACCCAGCGTCTCTCCTACATGCTTTGAATTCAGTGTCCACTATCATCTCTGAACGAGCTTATCCTGCGAGCAAGCTTACTTCTATGCATATAGTCAAATCTAAAGCCATAGGTTTTGAGTTTGAGTGCCTGCATATTAGTGAAGTTGATTTACGGATATTAACTATGACGAAATAAGAAGTGGATCTCACCCTTGCTTTCACGACCAATAAAGTCCATTGTCTTTTATTTCAGGCATATGTTCATATTCTTTCATCTTTGGTCGAAAAGAGTAGACTCGCAGCGAAGAGAATAACTTCCGTCACGGCTCACTGTAGGATGACACCTGCCTAGGTCTATGAAGGCCCTACATAGGGGCTATGTATAAGTTTGTGCAGCTAAACTCATCCCATTTGGACCGCCTGCTCTGGTTCCCCTGGCGAAACTTGCCAAGTAAATTTGGATCAAATTATGTATGTAAAAAAAAATTACTAACATAGTTTGCTGATTATAGTTAATTATTAGAAATTTTAAGTCTAATCCAAAAACATATTATATCACATGATATAGATCTACACATTACAAAGTGTTTCAAAAGTTATAGTTAAAAAAGCATAAAGTAAGTTATATATATCCCCACCATGATGTACTGTTGTACAAATATAATCACAACATTTGTATCTTGTAATTTTTTGAAGCATGTATATTCTTTGATACATATTTAAGGTACTTAAGCTACCAACTACAAATTGTAAATTGTATTGCAAATATACTAAATATGATGCTGATTCACTCTCTTGTCTACATTTTTTTTTCATGATTTCATATATTGCATACTCAAAATTTGTTCTTATGTTACAGGATATAATATCACCAAGGTTGTTTTCAAATGTGTTTTCTTTACTATATATATTAAGAAAAAATCATCATATCATTCCTCAATAATGCACATTGAAACTTATTCTTGAAGATTGATATGAATAAAAGTATATGTGTTTGAGTTTTCTATAATATAGCACTTCAATAACAGAATTGAAATTTTAATGCTAAAAAAGTATTATATTCCAAAATTGTTTTCTTTAAATATATTATATCCATATAAGAAATTTTCCAAACAGATAATTTTCTTAGTTGCTCATTTTCATTTATGTATAATATTAACTTCTAATTTTTAGTGGTTTAAGAAAAAGACGATGATTCGATTTTTATATTATATGTGTATTTTTCTCACTTTTATTTTTTATTAGTTTTTAAAAATATTTTTTAAAAAAGATATATGTTTATTTTGATACATACTAAATAATTCTTCCAGATTATTCTGTTTTTTCTTAAAATTCTCTATATTCTACTAAAAATAATAATGTTACATTTGAAATTTTTTAATCATGTATCAATTATTTTTGTTTATGTTATAAGTACGATAAAAATTGTTTCCTCCCGGGCCTCCGAGTCAGGTTTGCATATTACCACCATGATATCTACGGCTAGAGAAAGACAAAAGAGACAAGGACCAAGTTTGGAGAAAACTTTTGTACTCTCGTACGGATCTTTGCATTAAAATCAGGTTTTGAAGAAAATTTCTGATCATGATTATAGTCGATTTGAAATAATAATCCGACCAAAGTTGGCCTACTTGCTACAGAATGATGATTAATTTCACATTGTGATACGATAAAGTGGTATCACATTATCAAGAAGTACAAATATATGTATTAACAAATATGCATGTAAAAATAAGAATAACAATTACTTCTAAAGTGGCTAAATATTCAATAAAAAAATTTATTTCGATAAATTTTTTTTTAATAACTTACAAAATGAAATCAAAATAGGATTTAATATATTAAATTTTACAACAACTTATTTTATAATGAATTAAATATTTATTGAAATTATTTTTGAAATTTGCATCTATTAAATTAATCACAACCTTAATAATCTATATGATATTATTTGAAAAAACTTAAAATTTTCCAAATGATTCATTATGTTAACAACTTTTGACTTTAATCTTCATGACATATCTCATAATTTCAATATACATCTTGATTGATTTGATAATGTCAAATTGAATTGCCAACAAAATAAATTCAGTTGTTGAATATATGTTATAAAAAAATATTTAGTTATTAGCTTTGTTGATAATGCATATCAAAATCTACATAATTTTATTTCATATTTTTGATTTATTTATAAACTATCAATTTTTTTGAAAAAATTGATATTTTATGTTTTGCTAGTTAATGTTGATCATTAAAAATATAATGTCATATATATTTCTTCAAAGCATTCATCGTCCACTAATTAAAAACGATAATCATTTCGTATTAATAAAATGATACTTGTGATAAAACTTGTTTGATTATTAAAAATGAAAACAATTTTTTTTAAAAGTTTTTTTCATCTTTTAACGTTTTATCAAGATAATATCGAAATGTTCATCAAAAAAGACCTACAACAAAATTATCAATAGGACATCACGGTACGTATTTTTTGTATTGAAATAATTTTAATTTTGAATTTTTTCAAGCCTCAAGTATGTGTAGAAGCAATTTGACTAGTGTTTGTATGCTATATTTGATTAATAAATTCAACAAAAGTAACATCATTTATGTATCCATTCAAATGTTTGATATCATAAGATTTTAGAAGTAAAAAAATTATATTTAACGTTTTTTTTGTGCATATCCAAGCATTCATATGTTTACATCAAATCAGTATTTTGATTGAGAATTATTAGCTTCAAAAAAGCTTTCTACTTAAAGTTCAAAGAGTCTTAATCATATTAAAAATCATACTTGTTCATGTCAAACTTATCATTGCTACTTTTTATAATTATGATTTTAATTTATATGTTTTTCATCTATGTCAGTTTCAAATTGCATTGATGTAGAAAGAAAGAGATTGAGTGTAATGAAAATTAATGACGTTGCTCCATAAACGATGATGCTTTGTATAAATGCATTTGCAATTGATGATGTTGTGTGAAATAATTTTTTCGTAAATTAAATTAAAAATTCAGAAATTAAAATAATTATATGAAATCTCTGACATAATTGAAATGTGTTCAAAACTAAGTGAACTAAATTAATATAATTTCAAATGTTGTTAACTTTGTATTTCATAACATTTCTCTAAAAACCTTAGTTACTGAAATACAAAAAAGTGTATTTGAGTTGGATGACGTGCCCCTGCGTGATGATGTGTCAAGTGAGAAATTTGTTTGATAGCTTCTGCTGAGTCGGATATCTCTATTATATAATGACATTTTTCACTATTGAAATATGTTAGTTGCTATGTGAAAGGAGAATTATCATAGATATATCGCATTTTGGAAATTAGGATGTAAAGTTTCTATGTTATATACAACAGAACATATCTCTACAAACAATATTAGCTTATAATATAAAGAAAATTGCATTCACGGGTAGGTGGTATGAAGTCATTTGCGATGGATAATGTTGTGTCAGATAAGCTTATGTACGTCGTCTCAACGCATTTGTGAGAAGTGGTTTTGTGTACAGTATTTCACAATAGTTAATGCTGATCTCTGTTTTTCAGAGATGTTTGACACAAGTGACATATGTTCAATGCTGCATATGTCATTTGACATTGTAGAATTATTAGGGATCAACCAATGGTTTTAAGCTTGATCTCTTCCTTCTGTGGTTTGATGGGGATTACATACTTTTGGTTATTCTACTCTAACCCTGGATAAACCTTACCATTGTTTCCGTAATTTGAAGCGTCATTCTTTAGGTACGATTCAGAGTGCAGATAATATGGAATATGAACGTAAACGACTTTTGTATGCATGGAGTAGAATGAACAGGTGTGTTCTGAGAATTGACACCGTTATTGTAAATATGTGAATTTGTCGAGAAGGCAGATACATAAAATGCGAAGAAAAAATTTGGGAGCTCGCTGGGCACGCTGTCCTGCTCTCCAATATATTCATTTTCGTTTGGCGCATCGTGCCTTCTTAGGCTCTCGAATTTATGAGAAGAGAAAGTTGGAGAATGTATTTTATCACCCGAAATTTTTGTCTCCTGCGCTCGAAAGATAAATGTGCAGTAGTTGTTTCATCGACGTCGGACTAACAACAGTAACAGCTTACAGGGTACACTGAAGGAAAGCGTACATGAGAAATAACGGGTTCGGAAGTGAGAAGGTCAGGGTTCTTAATTAGGGTTGAGTTGCGGGAAGATTGTTAAGTTGTTGACAATTTTTTGTGGTTATTGCAACTTCGGAAGAGGTAATTTACTTTCTGTCCCCGAGCGCTCGTCTTGACTCTTCTGTCTCTGCTGTTGTTCCTCGCCCGTCGGGCCTGGCCTTTACTTTCCCAAGCCCTGCCTTGCCCGTACCTGCCCTATCTCTCTCCTCTTCCCCTTCTCCTCATTGCTGTCTCCCTTTTCCGCCCCATGCTACTCATCCCACCAATCCCTGCACATTCTCCCTCCCTCACCACCTCCTCCCGGTCTCCCCTGTGATGCTTCTTCCTGGTCTCGTCGTCGATCTCTTTCGATCCACTCAATTGAATTTCCACGTTCCATCGCCTGAGGGTGTCACAGTCATTAGGTCTTTTCAAATTTCCACTGGGGGAAATTCTCATGCTAATATGTCGGGGGGGAGGTTATGGTTCTGATTTGGGGGAAGGCGGGGACTCGTGAATTGGGAGAGGGACGAGATTTGTGGTTCTAGGTGATGTCCTGTAGGGGAATTCGAGGTCTGGCTCATTTTTGCAGAGCCTAGGCTTTTGACCTGTCATTGAGAGTGTTACCTACACGAGGGTGACATTTTTCCCCCTTTTTTCTTTTTTAATTATTCTTGATCCGGTGGTTGCGGGAAGTGGAAATTGCAGAGCACAGGGTTGGGGGTTGTAGATATGTTGTGCTGTTATTCAACCGTTTCGGGGATCGCTTGACTGCTGGTCGTGGTGCCTCCAGGTCTCAGGTCTGTCCCCGCTGGTGGTTTATCTTTTCTCGTTAGGTTTTCCATTGCTCCTCTTGTTTCACCTTTTCCGCGAAGTGTTTGGCCTTTCTTGTCAATTAACGCACATCTTCCATCTTCTCCATCTCCTTCCCTGGTTTAGTCCGACGCAATTTTGTCAAACCGAATCCTTCCCGCTTCAGCGTTTTGCGGACTGTGAATATTGAGTTAAACCTGGACGGCACCCAACATGTACAGATATATGTAACTGTAGTAGTGGAGTCGACATCCCTAGACGCCGTGAAAAGAATTCCAAATGCAATGGAATCTAGCCTGGTCTTGAGATTGATGTTTAAGTAGCTGACAACAAGAAATCGACTAGCAGCAGCATGAAGATTGACGATGGTACTCTTAATCGCTATCTAATCAAGAATCTACAATCCTTGTGAGTTTTCTAGTTCTCTCCTGCCTCATCCTCTGTGATTCTCTTCGCTCAAATCGATGTAACATTGGTCATACTCCTCACGGAAAGCCTTGCCTTCTCCACTGGTTATTGCTCACACACTTCGGTAGAGGGGACACCGTCCTTCTCCGGTGAAGCTTTCCTTTTCTTCTCAACCTATCTCTACTCGTGACAGCCGGTTGTTTACTGGCTTTCAGTGTACCCTTCGAAAAGATTGATCTGTAGTTTCGGATTAACGGAGGCATTGTTATCAAGATCTGCATGGTTGTTCAGGCCTAGTGACTGGCTTTTACATGGACAACTCTTTGTATGTCTTAGCTTTCTACAGCTAGTATGGGTAAGATTGGGTAGTATGGGTAAGTGAATTTGACCAAGAGATTGGGTGGCCACTTGCAACCAAGCAGCCGCGGAAGACCATACTAACAACTGCCTTTGCTGTTCAGAACGGAGGCCGACCCTTCCTTGCTAGCGAATTATGTAGCAGCTCTTCTGAGGAATAACAAGCCCAAGAAGGAGTTGCAAAAATTGTGCATTGATCAGTTGTACGATTTCCTTGGTGATGGTATGTGTCTGGCCGCGGAGTTGAGATAAATTATTTGGCACCTATGAAGAGTATCAATTTGTTGTTAGGACTTATTTTTCGATCATACATCGTTGAACCATTCTACCAGTTATGTGCTGGTCGTTCAATGTTCCATGGTGTTTGCATCAGTGTCAGGTACAAAGCTGATGCTTATCATCCTGTGTTCATATCCTTTGGGCTAATGGGTGTTTCAGAGACGCAGACTTACCCGGGAAGGTTTTTCTTTTCTTTTAATTATGTACTACACTGGTCAAGTTCGGAAGCCAGGACATAGAGGGCTCACGAGATCTTTATCGCCCGTGAGGAGAAACCAATTCAGCCTTCATACCTGAATTATTACAGCACTCTCCCTGGAAGATGTGCTGCTACATATGCCAGTGCTGACGACTATCGTATGATCACATTGGTTGTCAAGATGGCTTTCCTAAGAAAAGCTTTACAAAGGAAGCTTTTGAAATGATCCACATCCCTCCAGATGTTCGATGTAGTTTTAGGTATGAAATACAGGGTTTGAGAGGCCATAGATAAACACCCATGCCCTGAGCAAGCATGTTTCCAGGTTAGGCCTAGCCTATGCCCAACATTAGAAGATTCCGTTCAATCTGCTTATGTTCTTTCTCATCCTCCTGTGAAGGTCAAATCGCTTGTACAAACCTGAGGATCCCCTCTTTGGACCTTGTCATACAGTTGTGGCATTTAAATTAATCTGCGTTAACAAAGTCAGAGAACGTTAGCTGGCAAACGGCTATAAATAAGATTACTTGGAAGAGCTGACATCAAAACGCTGGAGGAGACTTTGCTCTGACTTCTATATGTGTGTGTTTTTCTGCAGGGACGAAGTCTTTCGTTGCAAAGTTATTCCATGCTCTCGAGGATGGTACAGTTCCTTCTTCTACAGAGGAAATGGAGCCTAGCAAACCTATGGAAAGCGGGCCTGTAGTCACAAGCACAGATGTGGTTGAACTAAGGACGTCCTCACCACAGTTGGAAAGGTTACCGAGCACTGCTGTTCGTGCCTTTAGTGATGAAGGGGAGGATGAGAGCAGCGATGATGAGGATGACGATCGGAATCACAAGCATAGGAGGCGGGTCACAAGGTCTCGATCATTTGATAGAGATGGGGAGGAGGAAGACAGAGGGATGTACAGAAAGCGGGGCAGATCAACTGACAATGGTCAGGTCTTACGAGATAATGAACGCCTGGCAAATGATCGTCGGGGCCCTGGTCATGCCATGCATTCAGAGAGAGACAATAATAAGTTTGACAGGAGATTGGGTAGAGAACATGCATCTGGCCGATTCAGTTCGGAAGGTGGTCAAAGAGGGAACTTGAGAACAGGTCCACAATTTCGAGGAGAAGGTCCTGGTCCTCGATACGATGGTCCTAACGGTATGATGCGTGGTGGAATGGGTCGTGGGAGGGGATTAGGCAGTTCTTGGCCTCCAATCGACCAGCGGTTTCCGCCACCTCCCTTTTCTGATGGTTCAGAATTTGCCCCTCCTCTGCTGCCACCTGGGCCCCCAACATCAGGTTTTTTTCCGGGAAGAGGTATCCCTGGTCGGGGTGTGCCACATACTCCTTGGCCTGGATATGGTCCTCATCCTGGAATGGGAAATGGCCCTTTAGAACACCCTCATCAGCTAACTGGAGGAATGCAAGGTGCTCGTGGACCTCCTCCAATGTCCGCTGGAATTGGCTTAAATATGAGCATGGGAAGACCAAGATGCCTAGATTTTGAAGAACGAGGGTATTGTTTGAGAGGAGATCTTTGCCCTATGGAGCACGGCGCAAACAGGATTGTGGTGGAAGATGTGCAGGTATTTTTCATTTGTTTGCTTTAGGACTCTATGCATTGGGAGCTTCACTCCATGTTAATAGAGTTGGCTTGGACTTCTCATACTTTACTCCCGTGAGGAATTAGCTTTGTTTCAAGTGTTGCTTGTTTCGTCTTTAACCACTTACCGGGACAGAAGTCTGAAGGAAAGTGTAAGTGGATGAGTTTAAATTTTTCAACAAAATTTTAAAATTTTTCCGGGGTTTTTATTTTTGTTTTGTTCTGATATTTATCTTAATTTCGCATTTGGAGTGACTTTGATTCAATATTATGCCTAATTACACCTAATTACACAAATCAAATCAATAATCTCGCATTATTATCTTTTGCTCAGAGTTTTTCTTTTTTTGATGTAAAACATGTCGTGGTCTGTTTTGGTTCTTGAGAATGCGTATGTCAGTCGTTAACTTCAAACCAAAATGTGAGCTCTCTTTAGGCTCTTGGTTATACGGGACTGGTCTTGCAGGTGAATTTGCTTTGTACGCATTGAATCAACTGGAACCTCACCTTTAAACCAAAATGTTAGCTCTGTAGAATCTTGGTTATACGGTAATGGTCTTGCGGGTCAATTCCCTCTGTACGCATACAATCAATTGGAACCTCACCGTTGAAAAGTTTGTAACTCAATTAGCTCTATCTGGTCTTGCGGTGAATCTCCTTGTACGTATTGAATCAACTAGAACCTCACCGTTGAGTAGTTTGTAACACAATTAGCTCTACGTAAAGACTCCTCCTCAATGAGAATGGGTCCCAAGTCAACACTTCTTATAAGATTCTTTGTTGTGATCAATGATCTGACAAGTTCATGAGAACAATATTAACTCCTCTGGTTAAAGTTTTAGAGGAATGAAGGGAATATTCTCAAAGAGATGTCTCACCTGGGGCGAAAGGCTTGATCCCTACATAAATCTTATCAATCTTCGTTGAGTTCAAAGTTTACCAAAGGGTCACTGATGTGTTCCGCTAGTCAGTGTGCGGCAGAATCTTAGAGAAAAAAATGCATATCCTCAAGGAAGAAGGCGACGCACGGGTTAAAAGAACGATTTAGTCACTTAGCATGGTTTCAAATTTAGCTTGAGTTTGATGGAACTTAAGATAAGAATAGTGATAGTGAGTAAATTTCCCCTTATTCCTTGATGGGACAGTATCTGCTCTTTCAAAGTAAAAGTATCATCGTCTCTATCTACAGTCAAAACTACATGTGTCAAATGTGTCTACGGCCTATCTAAGTTTTGTCTGTAAAGTGTCTTGTTCTGTCTCGTATTCCATGTGAAACTTACAACGTATTGGCGTACTTGCTTAGTTTTCTCACGTCTTCTCTCCTATTGGGAAGTTGATCTCATATATGAGTTACTCATCAATATGGTAATGTTTATCTTAATGATTTTTAACATCGGTTTGCATGGCCTAGGAACAAGTTTTTTCATTGAATCATTCAACTTTTCTGTATATCTTGGGTCGGACATTTCGGAATTAAGTAGATGAGTTTGCTCTTTCTTGTTCGATTGTAGTTTTTAAGAAAACACCTAGTACAAACCTCAGATTCTTATTATGTCTAGACTTGAGTAGGAAGACTGCTCAATAAGTCTGTTTCCTTGTTCGATGACAGTGCAGATTCGTTTAAATCGCCTCGTAACCCTAGTCAACTTAGGATACCTGGTCTTGATTTCGAAGTTTGCCAACAAATGAGCCTACTCTTTTTGTTCGATCAGATCGCAGTTAAAGGAAACCCCATTATTCTTCTTGGGTACTTAGTACCGAATCGATTTCATGCTTTGACTATAAGCCAACCAGTAAAAACAACTCTAAGCGGTGATATGATTTCCTATCTATCCCTTCTGAAATATAACCCTGAACAAACAAATAGTTTTAATGACGGGACTAAATCAACTCAGGGAACAGTGCTTGTTGTCTGTTGAATATGTCTAATCCACATTGTTGAAGCGGGAGACTGGAACTCTGCTATTTGCAACACAACTTCTACTTCACGTACTAAGGTCTACTCGAATAAAATCAAACGTTATCCACTAGTGAATTTATGGGTAAACTTGGTGGTATTGAATTAGTGGCTGACTCTTCTGGGGCTCTAATAGTTTTATGTGTAGTAATGATTTTAAGGATGAAGGAGGTGTAGATTTGATGATGGGCTCGGAAATGCTTGCTGATAAATTAGTTCTCACAAGTTGCATGTTGTTTCAGAGTTTGTCCAAGTTCAACCTTCCTGTATCTATTCCAAGTGGAAGAGGCATGGGTATCGGACCAGTGTCTGGACCTTCTGCAGGTCCAATGCTCCCCCCTGGTTTAGGCATGGTAAACAGAGGAAATCGGGGCAGTCGAGAAACTAGCTCACCTGGAATGGGAGAAGATCCTAATATGCTTAATGGAGCTCCCCCTTCCAGTGTCGGTGCTGAGCCAGACTTGTACGACCCAGACCAACCCTTGTGGAACAAAGAGCGGCCTGATGCATCTGCGGGGCTTCGAAAGCTGTCTTCTTATCAAAAAGGTTCGCAGGATCCAGATTGGGATGGTGATCTCTTAGAGAAACGAGAGAATCAGGAGGGCAGTGAAACCCTCGATGTTGTAAGGGTAGGAAGAGGCGGGAGCAGTAATGGAGCACAGGGAGCAGAGAGTGGACCCAGTGTGTGGGATCGCATAGGTCCTGTAGATCGAGTAGGAAATAGGTTGGATGGAGGTCCACGTCCTGTGGGGTCTCCACTTGAGGGGATCCCCAGTGGAAAGCCCCCAAGGAAGGATGGTGGAGAAGAAATGCCGGCCCGGGGTAGAGGAGTTTGGCCGGTAAAGTGGAATCGCGAAGTAGAAGCTGATGACGAAAGTGGACCCAGAGCAACAATTGCAAATTCGACACCTGGCCGAGGGCGCGGAGTTGGTCGCAGCGAAACTGGTTTAGGACAGCGATCTGGAGAGGGGACAAGCTACGGATCACGTGGTACGGGCGGTCGAGGAACAAGTGGATTCGGGTCAGAGAGAGCTCAGCGAACTCTATATGTTAGCTTCATCCCAGTACTTAGCAACAGAACGGAACTCTTGACAGCTCACTTTCAAAAATTTGGACACGTACTAGATATTCGTATTCCAGCTCACAGCGATAGAGCTTTTGTCCAATTTTCAAGGCGTGAAGATGCGGAAGCTGCTTTAACAGCTCCGGATGCTGTTATGGGGAATCGCTTTATTCGCCTCTCTTGGGCAAATAGGGACAGTATTCCAGATCCGGGAGATAACACAACATCTCCCGCTGGTAAAGTACACGGAAAATCTGGACATCTAACTACCCCGCAGACGGTAAAAGCTCCGGAGAAAGCCACATTAAATGGAACGGCAAACGTTCCAGCAGAGTTGGCATTATCAGAAGGTGGGGGAAAGGCCATTGCTGCCAATGGATCCTCAAGTTTACCCGCTATCTCTGGAGCCGCGCTGAAGAAGCAGGAGGAGCTGGAGAAAATGAGAGAGGTTATAAGGAGAAAGCAAGAGTCATTAGCGCAAAAGCGAGTTGACTTCCGTAGGAAACTCGAGGCCAAGCTCGCGAAACAGGCAGGTTATCGTCCCTTGAATGCTATATTTGTGTCTTACCAGTCAGACATATCACTTTAGCGAGGTTCATGTTCAAGTCGGTGATTTTCGTTTTTATATAATGGAAGTAGTTCTTGAGTCGCATCTTCATCTTCTTACATTCTTAGTTTTCATCATGGTCTCAACGTAAATCATATGTTTTGGCCTGCTGGCTGGTCTTAATTGTGTTTCTTCTCAGCTCCACAAGATTCACAGTGTCATCTCTTTTAAGAACTTGTGGATTATTGGTTGGTGTTTTAGGTGCCTGGGCAGGGAGATGGTTCAGATTCAGAGCAATCTGCCAAGCGTCAAAAGTTAGATGATGCCGATGAGAATTCAAGTGGTTCCCTCAAGCAAGGAGTATCAACAACTACGGTTTCTCAACCATCTCCAAGTCAATCTGCTCCACAAGTGCCCGTGGAACATTTATCCTCTGGTGGACTTTCTAAGAGCAATTCAGGGGAGGTCCTCAAACAGAGTAGTGTAACAGTTGGTGTGAGCCAACCTACCCAACCGTCCCAAAGGGCCGGAAGGCCACAAAATGCAAGGGTGAACAGTACGAATTTGACGTACTCGCAAGTTTCTTGGGGACCTGCTCGTTTTAAACTGGATAACCGAACAACAATCTTCAGAGTGCTACAACCCTTCCCTTCGGCCGTTACAGATGTAAGTTCGAACCTAATCAACTGACCATTTTCTTAAGTGACTACTAATTTTGCTCTTTACAAATTTGAGGGGACTGTAATATATTTTAAACAACTAATTTGGGCTGTCTGATTAGCTCTTGAAGCACAATGCGAGAAATAGATGTCATTGTCTAATATACTGTAATTATTACATGTTGATCTGGCGATGATTTTCAAACCTTTATCTACCAACCCTCTTAGTGAAAGGCCATAGTTGTCATTTCGTGAGTTGCTTTTGGAGCCATTTCATCTTTCACTAGTAATCAGACATTCTTGTCTTATAGATATTGTTTCAATTTGCTCGTCTTCTGTAGTCCAAGTCTATTGCGGAATTGACGGGTTTTAAATTCAAATCCAAATCAGCTGTATTTTGCAGTCAGAGTCTCTTGGAACCATGAACCCATCTCAATCAAGGGTATAACCCTCATCGTTAGAGAGATCGTCCTCACCGTCAGATAGCACTTCTTCTCCCATCTTCTATTTTGCTTGTTCTTTGTACTGATTCTCTTCATGTTCTCTTCATTCTCTTCATGCTGTATGGCCTTCAGGCTGTGAAAAAAACACAGAGGGTTTTGTAATTGGTGAATCCAGGGAATAGTTTACACCTTTATGTATGAACAGATTTTTTACCTAATAGTATATATTGGTTGATGCCTAGTAATGAATAGACCCTTACTTGGTAGATCTGAAAGGACGTGCAGAAGACTAGTACTTTTGCTCTTTAAATGTGTTCCTTGGGTTCATTTGTGATCATTACTTTTGTATTGCTTGCAGGTGGCAGTGCTCAAGGAGCACTTCTCTATGTTCGGAGAATTGTCAACGGTGGAGCTAGAAGATGCAGAAGGTCAAAAAGTAGAAGGAATCTCCAAATTAAGCGAAATTAACAGTGTACGGGTGAGTTTTGCAACACGTCGTGCTGCAGAGAGGGCCTATGCAACAGGCAGATGGCTTCAAGGTCAGAATTTACAGCTTGTATGGGTTACGTCTACAAATAACTCTACAGGTAGTGGGGGAACTGCTGGAAGCTCATCGCTGGTTACCTCTAGAGGACCTTCGGGAGGTCCATCTTACATGGAGCAAGAAGGGGCTAATGGGAATAGATATTCTGATCGGGAAAGTACCAAGTCTGGTCAAGAGACACAAGATACTGCTAATGATGGGGATGTGTCAGGGGAGGAAACAGGTTATGAAGTGAGCAGAGAGGAGAAGAAGAGTTCAGCTTCTGTGCCAAACCTAGAATGGAGAAGAGAGAACGCCTTGCAAGTCCGTGCATCTACGAAAGTCGTTGGACGGAGCTCTAGTGGTCCTGCCATTTCCACGGAAAGCGGAGCGGAAACGCGTCATTAGGATTGGAAGTTTGGATCTATATCTTGCTTCCAGAGGCTCATGCTCTTTGGCAACATGGCTGAGCTAGTTTGCAGAGCCTGTGCTGTGTATATTGTAGGTTCTGTTGCCTGTAACTTTTAGGTTCCAATTCAACACAAGTCTGTCAGGGTTTGGTGTCCCCAGATTGCACCAATCAGCACACGAATCATAGACTGTATGTTGTCCGGGTCTCAAGCTGTGTGCATGCAGTGGCCTAGCAGTCAATTTACTAAGTGACTTTTAGGAGACCCATTTCCCGGAGGATGTGACCTAGTCACGGGTTGCATCTTCAGTGGGTAATGGCGGCCATTTACATCCATGTCTGGTATGTGGTAGATCCCATTATCATGGGGTGCCACATAAATTCAGTAGAATTAATTACTTCGAGATAGCATTAGAGGCATTTTTTTGATCTGGCATTGGTACTGCAGCCAGTGCGATTAGGGAGTCATTAAATCAATGTCAGCTGAGATGAGTAGGCACTGGACGGCAGTCCGTTTAGTTCTTTAGTATGGCAAGCCGTCAGGCTTTGGATGTCTTTAACGGCAAGTAATGAAAAGAAAATCCAAGACGCCGGAGATTGGACTGTATATTGTGTTGAAAATCTTCTTCTGCCAACTCTGCATGATGCTGCTGTTTTCATACTTCGCTATACTGCGCTATATTTCGCTATATATACTGTAAAGACTAAATCCTATACTTAACCTGCAAAACCCTCATCCGATATTGAAGAAATGTCTTCTGTGTTGGAGGAATGTGCTCCGAGACGGAATAGAGAGGGATGTGCATGAGGTCGTAAATTCATTGAGCTCTTCTAGCCATAATATAGCCTAATCAGTAGAGTAGGACTTCTGAAGATAATATAGTGACAAACTATTGGGAATTGCATGATACTGCAACTTGACCGTAGTAATAAAAAGCAAGTTGTAGTTTGAACTCATTCAATATTTCTGCGAGATATCCATGTTTTGCGCTCAATGCTTATGGGGTATCTACAGGATTTTCTCTTCAAAATTTATTCATTTGTTGCCCACGGATATTGGAGTTTGGAATGGTCACATCCCACATTAATTAAAGTTGAAGGGGTTGAGGTTGAATATTGAAATACCCAAACGACTATGGAGGTTTACGTGAGATTGTGAGTTAATTGACGTGAACATGGCACAGTCTCTCAATCCCATTGTGGAACATGAATCTCGGTACATGTGGTTCAATGGCAAGGACACTGAATGTTGCTAAAATAGATTACTTTTCAAATGACGAAAGATTTAATAAAAGAGCCGATAAGAAAAAGTGCTCTTGATCTCATAATCATATCTTTAAAATCTCCTTGAGAACATGTAGTAAATATTTATAGAGTAAATATTTATATATTTGAGCCTACAATGGTTGCAAACAACCTACATTGCGAGTAATGTTGATACATTTCCATGTAGCCAAATCACAAACAAAATCAGTTTCCAGTTTTCAGTTATGAGGATTTGAATTTTTGGAAATATGAGTCGTTACATGTTGTAGAACTTGTAATTTTGATCATTTTGATACATATTTCAGTTAATACGGAGTTGTGAATAAAACGTTATGAGGATTTGAATTTTGGAGATATGAATCGGTACATGTTGTAGAACTTGTAATTTTGATCATTTTGATACAAATCTCAGTTTTATCTGAGTTGTGAGTGAAACGTTATGAGGATTTGAAATTTCAGGATTATTTTGACGTAGGTTGCCATGTAATTTCCTTCAAGTTTTAAGGTGATTCAATTTACATTTTGTTAGTGACATTTTGAACATTCGGCGTGAAAATATGAGCTGCATTGAGTTGAATAGAGTATGAAAAGATCTTTGATTTGGTATCGATTAGGCTCCAAGTCCAGTTGTGACAAAATGATTACAAGTGGTCAAATTTTTTGAAAGTTTGAGGTAGAAAATATGACAGCTTCAACAATTAAATAGCAATTCTATTGCAAATACTCAACATTAAAAAGAGGAATGGATTTTACTTTTTTGATTTGATATCAAGATTTTTGAGTTTTATTGAATGAAGTAGAAGTTATACAAGAAATTGCATAGAGGAAGTTGTTGAAACACTTTTTGGTCACAGTTAATTAAAGTTTGAGAATCAAAGTTCTAAAGAATTTCTTGAGTATATACATAATAACATGTGGAAAGTCTCTCTAGTTGATTCACTCAAAGCTACGAGTACTATATATCATTTATAGATAATTATCCAAGGTTTAAATGAGTCTATATTTTCATTAAAAAACTAAGATCTTTGCTATGTTTGCAAATTGGAAAAATAAACAGAAGATTTAGTGTGGAAACAAAGTAAGAATGAAAAATGTTAGTAAGAGATATCTAAGATCTGATAATGATAGTGAATACACCCCTAAGGAGTTTGAAAGTGTCAAAATGAGGGAATTATTCATCATTTCACCACAGTTTATACTCCATAGCAATATGCCATTGCTAAGTGATTCAAGAGAAAGAAGTTGGAAAAAGTTGTAGAGTATGTTGAATCAATCTGGTTTACTGTACAAATGTTTGATTAAAGCCCTCAATACTACAATTTATCTGATATATTTTCTACTTCAAGTGCAATTGATTTGTTAACACCGTTTGAATTAAGTCACAAACGGACGGTTGATTACAATAATTTAATAGTTTTTGATTGCAATGCATATTCTTTCACATCCAAAAAAAATAGTTTCAAGCAAGAGACTACATATAAAATTGTCATTTTTTTGGGATATGCTACATATATGAAAGATTATAGAGTATGGAATTTCAAAAGTTAGAATGGTAAGGCTATTGCTACTTGTATTGATGAATCTTTCTTTTCCGACAGCATTGATTAAAGTTGGATTATTATATTTTTCATAACATTTTGCATGGAGAAACTCCATGCAAAAGGAGTTGATTTTTAAGAAACAAGAGATAAAAAAGCAATCAATTATCGATGATACTTTGATTATAATCAAAACACCAAACAATCAATATCAAGTTCAAACAATTACCAAAAATTCTAATACAGCTCATGAAAGGTATGGAATATAAATGAATTCTTCTTTGCTTGAAAATAGTGATATTGTTGGAGAGTAAAAAAATGATGATGCTTTGACCGTACAAGAGTGCAAACCTTTTTGTAAAGTGAAGTTTGAGATTTTGAAGACAAATTTGAGTGAAACATTGATATGAAAAACAAATGCAATCATTTGAAGTCAACAGTACTTGGAAGCTAGTAGAATGTACCGGAGATCAATCTATTGTCAATCACAAATGGATATACATGCTACAAGATGATACCAAAGAAAAGTATAAAAAATTTCATAAAACAAGACACTAGTCTTGTTTTATCCAACGGTATACACATGCATGCTTATATTAGTCGGTTGTCTAAATTATTTAAATTAGATTCATTTATTTCTAACAAAAAGTTAATTTAGGTGATTGAAAAAGTTCAATTTGAATTCAAAGAATTTTAGGGTACTGCAAACTATATGAAATTTTGGCTTGCTCAATGACATGCTACGTTTGTTGGCCTTGATTTAGGACCACCACCTTGCGCAATTTATGATTCTCTTGACCTTGCTACTCAATGATAATCTAAGCCTTTACTTCATGCATCAAATATCTCTTAGCAATAGCAAAAGCAACAACATAACAATTCTTAAAGACTCAACACAACGGTCTAAACTCTGCAATTCTTAACAATGAGCAAATTACACGCTCTCGAAGAAGGCTTTCAAACTACAAAAAAACGCTTTCGAAGAACATTACGTCAATGAAGATGCTTACAAATGACGGTATGATTGACAAACTGCCAAATCGCATGGATCACTCAAAATCAATCTAATATTAAAGCGGTAGTGTCAACAAAATATGCACTGTTCATAACAAACTAGTAACAATACTAATTATAATAACGCAAAAGTTTGCAAACATACTAGATATAAGACGAGTATGCAAATTTCAAATGCATGAATTTCAAAATTTTGAAATTTACATATTGAAATAGTTTTGAGTCGAATAGTGCTCTTACTAGATAGAGACTGTTGAAGTGCTAAAATCTTATGATCTAAATAAATTTTTAATTTTGAGTCAGTTAATGTTTAGATGCGTCTTTGCAGATGTACAGTGCAAGTAGCAATCTAAAGTAGAACAGTTTTGAATTAAGAGTGCAATTTTGAGAAGTTACAATTTAGATTCGGATTAAATTTTAAGATTTTGAATAGTGGTCTTATTGAGCTGAAGTGATGTTTTTTTCCTTTTGCCGTGACTTATAAAATAGAGACGGAAAATTTTTCACTAGTTGGCGTCAGCAGTGCTTCCATCTTTGAAGTAACTTTAGTTCAAATCTGATAGTAGTGCTGCATATTTGCACATTGATTTCATGCTTATCGTAGCTAGTTTTGGATATGAATGTGCAAACCTTGATATTTAGTCTATGGTTTGGAGCAATTAGTGATTAAATTTTGCAGTTTAGTAGATACAATAAACACTTACAATGACGATTTACTCAAAGATGCAATTATTAGTGAACAAGCATGGATCTTTTGCTAATTAATAAAAAGATTTTTGGAATTAGTACGTTACACCTTGCTTACAAAATTGTCCATAAAAAAAAGCTGTATGAAGCAAGTTCTCTTCATGAATTGTTCATATTTCATGTGAAGCTAGCTCGTAGTCTAATTTATAAATGGCAAAGAATTTTCAGATAGAAATAAATGATAAAATTGCATACAATTCAATTTTTTCTCCTCAGTGTATAATTTCTTTTCATCTATATTTTTGTAGAACAAAATTATTCTATTCATCATGTTTTCAAACGATAAAAGATGATGAATATAGACTTCTATTAACAATCTTGATTGCTGAAACTTAGGTTTTGGATAGCCAATCCAAACTGGATTAGAGTTAAGATTTCATTTGCTGGTTTTGATTTATATTTTGGAAGCTAAGAACTTATAATTATATAACTTGATCAGATTGCACACGGTGTTGTCTAGATGTAACTTTTCATTGACTTTTCCACCCACATTGATTAATAGACGTCAAATCTCCTTAATTTAGGCGCTGCGGTATATTATCACTCAAATTAAGTATGCTTGGATATACACAATAAAAAGTTGTGAACTAGAATGATGTGTTTTCACTTAAGCTAAATTTGTTAGAATTTGATTGATTTAGTCAATTGTAGCAATTTTTTTTACCTTGTATTAGATTAAATGAATGTTGTTACTACTTTATTTTATGAAAAATTGAAGTAAATGATCTACATGAAACAACTTGAGAGCTTTGCTAAGAAGAGCAAGGAGATATGAATTTGTAGACTGCTTGAATCCTTGTATGAATTGAAACAATCTCCTTGATAATAAAAAAAGTGTTTTGATAAATTTATGAAAGCATTTAAATTTGCATGAAGTATCTAGTATCCCTGTGTTTACATGAAACACATCTTTAGTATTTCATCTAGTTTTGTATGTTGATGATATATATAATTCTTGCTAAAAATTAATCTTATATCAGTAAGCTCAAAGTTCAATTCAATGATAAATTTTGGATGAAAATATAATCAAGGCTT